GTGAGGGCCGAGTTGGACTCCTGGGAGAGGTAGGAGAGCGTGGGGAGGGCTGGTGGGGGCATATTGGGTAGTTCTTGTTGTTGTTGCTGTAGTTGGTGAGTGTGTAGTGGTGGTTTTGTAGAAGGGGGATTGGTGTTTGAGATTGTTTTTGTTGTTGTTGTTGTGGTGGTGGTGATGGTTGCGTTGGGTTGGGGATGAGGTTGGGAGTGTAATGCCCGATGATTTGACAGAATGGAGGTATACCGAGGTAAGCGGTGCAGGTGGTTAGGCAAGTTTCCGACCCTGCAGAAGCAAGATGAGATGAACATGAACAGGCGGTGATTTTACAACGGAGAGGTTTGAGCAGTTGTTTTTTATGTTCTTTTCTTTTCTTTTCTTTTTTTCCCCTCGATCTAGCGGAAGAAATAGACTACGGCATAAGAGGCAAAAGACGATTGATTCGTCATCAACAACGACCGAGTCGCGATTGACGGTCCATAACCTAATGCAATGCCGGATTTCCAGTCCCTCGGGCGGGGCGGGGGCACAGCGGGGCAAAACTTCAAAACTCGCGCCAGCCGAAACAGCGATCGGGAGCTGGTGTTGTGGACGTGGTCCTGTTGATGAGTAATTCATCCTTTGTCACCGCTATGTAACAACATGCGATCCTTGACAACATCATTTCCTCCAGCATGAATGGCTCCGAATCAGTTCCCGGGATATCGTGGAACTTGCTGTCTCTTGACTCGGAACGCTGCCACAAATGCGCGGCTGACATTCCCGTCCAACGCAGTCATGCAAGTCATTAGAAATTCACATGGCATGAGCAAGAAAGCGAAACAGATATGGACCGCAATTCCTTTAGATTTGAACCCTTCAGAACTACGGAGCTCCTCATGTAGACCGTCCAACAGCGACACCCATCATCCCTCGCGGCTGCCCAATAACAGAAACCGGTATGACCTAATCAAAGGCTGACTAGTGACTGTACCCCAACAAACGAGAGCAAGGAAGTAATCGCTGCCTTAGCAGACCATGACTACATTTAGTAGAGGCGCTTGGGGGGAGACATGGTAGCCTTGATGGTAAGGCTACCGACGTTCTGCCAGCCCTTCTTGAGGAGGGAGACGAGGTAGTTGATGGCCAACATGATGTTACCAACAAGCTGCTCCTGGGTCATGCCAACGTTGCCGACGGCGACACCCATGCAGAGAACCTTCTTGAGCTGGAACTTGATGGTGGACTTGACCTCGTTGAGCTTGCCGGTAAGGTCGTCGGAGTGGGAGACGGGGGTGGGGAACTTGCCAGCTGTAGTAGAGGTCATTTCGTTAGCATTTTGCGTTTCTGATATGGTTGAAAGGAGGAGCCGACAAAAACATACCCTTGGAAAGACCGGGACCGAGCAGACGAGGGATCTGCTTGATAAGGGCCTCGGAGGCGACGAAGGCATCGTACTTGCGAGCAAGCTTCTTGATGAGCTTCTTGTTCTTGTTGAGCTTCTTGAGATCGTCGACGGACATGGCGTCAACACCGCCGTGCTTGGCACGGTCGATATCGTGCTGGTCACCGAGAATGCAGATGCTCATGTTGGGGCGGGGAATGCTGGGCAGGCGGATGGTGCCAGAGAAACGCTTGTCACGCTGGGGGTCATAGTTCTTGAGGCCGATCTGGAGCTCGACGGTCTCGAGGAAGTTGCGCTTCTTGGTCTCGTTAGAGTACTCAAGAAGGTCAGTAACGTGCTGACGCACAGCGGCTGTCAAGAGTCAAAATAATCAGCGATTTGTCATTTTGGTGTCTTCATATTGAGAAAAGACGATTCCCGGCGATTGCGAAAACGTACCGACGGAAATCTTGGACATCTTGGCCGTCTTCCTGTAGAATTTCTTCTATAGGTATGCTATGTTGCGTCTGTCGACTTGAGCGAAGGGATCAGGAAAGGATTTTGTTGCCAGTGGATGGTGGATTTTTGTGTCTTGTGCGGAGTCAGCTGCCAGTAATCTGCGCTAAGCCTAATTTGTCCCCCTGGCTGGCCGGCAAAATAGGTGGTCTGTGCACTTTGCCATCGTCCATGCCGTCACCCCATCTGTTGGCCCCTGAATTCACTTGTCATTATCATCACCAAGTTACACAGCGGAACGGGTTCACGAAAACATAGATGGGCAGCAGGTTATACGATAACCCCCTTGCTTGTTCATTTGCGACCATCCGGCGCGTAACAGCCAGCTACACGAGCACATACTCATTAACAGTACAAGTAGACATTTACTTCGCTTGACTTTCGTAGAACCGACAAACTCCACCCCCTTGATACATCGTGTCCTCCCATCCATACCTGTTGAAAGCGTCCATATAAATCCGTCCCTTCTCTTGCTGAAGCCATGCTTTTCCGGTCGGGCATATTGCATTAAATTTATCCCTATACACCATCTACTTCTCAACAGCAAAGCCCTCGGCCGCCTCCAACCGACTCAGACGCTCGCTCAACACATCCAAATCGAACTGCAATGACCCCAACTCTTGGCCCTCAATCTCGCCGCTGTCCACGGCCTTCTTCACCTTCGCTACCGCATCATGAAGCGGCGCGAACCAGCGCTCCTTGACCGTCGCATCCAAGTTCGGAGGCAGTACCCTCCTCCACTTGTCTGCCGAACCCCACAAGAACAAACCAAAGTTCACAGCCTGGAGGAAAAAGGGGGCATTGGTGCCCAACTCGTTCACTAGCTTCTGGAGATCCAGTTCTTTGAGGAAGCCCATGTTGGAAAATACTACGTACTGGACCGTCTCAAGCGCTTGAGGACCAGCGAAGACGTTCATGTTTGTTCCAGCCCTCGATCTCGTGCCAGGTGTCGCGGTGCCCGGCTGCAGGGTTGGTGACGGGAGGGGAGCCTGATTCATTGGAGCCGCAAGATTTTGAGGGGCTGCTTGCGCATTGGGAGCGGCAGCGATAAGTTCCTCGCGGAGCCATGTGATGGCGCACGCCTTGAGCGATGCGTAGTCGCAGTTTTCGAGAAGATCGTACAGAATCTTCAGGCGGTCGTCGTCGGCTGGGTCGGCGTGAAGGACCAGCCCGGCAAGACAGCTCGCGGCATTGCGCACGTGTAGTTGTGGGTGGAAGACAGCAATGAGTGTTACAAAAAGGATGTAGCACATGTAGTCCGAGGTTGCTTCGTCAGGGTTCGTCGTTTGGTTGGCGAGCGGCGCCTTGGGAATCGCTGAAATAAGACCCTTGTCGTGAAGCCAAAGGCCGATGGTGACCAGGGCTTGCACCGTTCCCGGCGCTTTTCGAATCTGATCCTCAGCATCATCTTGAAGGAACTTCTCGAGCATGGCCAAGTGGTCGGGGAAGATGTGCATATCGGGTACCGGGTGGTCGGAGTCGAACACAGTTGTCGAGAACACCCAGTATGCCAAAAGGATAACGCATCCACCCGTCGACAAGCCAATGTCTTCCGGCCTGGCGATGTCTTCTGTTTTGGATAGGGGATCGGTTTGGAGAGGGCCCTCGGTGACTTGGCTAAGGAAGGTTTTGTCGCAAGACGACAGACCGAGATCGGCGATCAACGCCTGTGGTGTTCATGGGTCAGCGCACTCGGCGACATTTCATTCACAGGGACACAAAGTCAACATACCACCAACTGTCCGACGGCGCCATCCTTCTCCGACAGCTCCTTCTCTTCACGGAATCTCGCCATGAGGGTCTTGCGCCCAGGGACGATCTTCTCCGGGTTGTGGAACTCCAACAGCCTTGGTGCCCACGCCACATCGTTCTTGTTGACAAAGGACTCAAGAATGCATGTCGCGAAGCTCAAGAGCAACCTCTCCTGTATCGCAGTCTCTGTGGGATGCTCAGTTTCCTTGTCTGCCTCGGGATCGGGGGCATTCTTAGTGGCATCCCCATGCTGATCTGGATTTGCGACGTTGACGCTCGACTTGCGGGTGGGGAGAGGTGGCCTCTTGTTACCGGCTAAGCTACGAACGAGGTTGATGACAGCCGCGGTCATCTCATGGTTGGGCCGGTAGGTGTTGTAGATGGTCTGTAGGGATGTTGCGAGGAATCGGCTCGGATATTTCGTCTTGATGCGCTTATGTAGGATGGACAGCATGTTGACTAGGGTGATGAACTTTTGCTTAAACGGCACCGACTTCTCGCCGTTGGTCTCCCCTGCCTCACTTTCGTCGTCGCTCTGATAGCCGTCATCCTGGCTGAGGAGTTCGAGGGTCTCGAGGACCTTGAGAATAACTTCACGGGGGTTGCCCAGTCGCGCAATCGTCTCCAAGCACTCGTCGGAGCCGGGAAGGTTGACTAGGTTATAAACCAGATCCCAACCGATTTCCTGCGTGAGCTCTGCATCTTGGAGGACTTCATTGAGGGTTGGCAGGACGGCCGGGGAGAGGTTCGTCTCGACAATGGTAAGATATGTGAAGCGGTCAGTGGCAGGGGGTCTGGCCTCTTTGATGGCCGCGATGGCCTTTTCGGAATCCATGGTTGCTGCCTAAGGGGGGGTATTGTCGTAGTTGTGGGATGTTGTTGTGGTGATGGTATGGAAACGGTGTTGGTACCAGTCAGTGATGTCGTGTCGCAAACGAGTGGTGGGCAGGGCGCGCGAAAGAATGTTGAGATTTTGTTGTTGGGCAATGACGGGTGGGAGCTCTTGCGTGATCCAAATTGTTGTGTTTCAATCGTCGATGGTGGTTCTTGTGAGGCTGTGCTGAAAGTCTAGTTCTACCTCTAGCGGTTCCTTGTTTGGCAGAATGGAGGAAAGGAGGATTGACATCAAGGTGCAGCACCACAAGCGAACAAGCTCGATGTTACCCCGCACTCCACCCTGTCGCCAAGCGGGGGACAGCGACTAGTACACTAGCTCTGGGTGCCTGTTTTTGCTATGCGGACTATGTCGCTAGCTGCCCTACACCGGGGATGGGTGGGTCTGGAACCTGAGGTTGATGGAAGTGGAAGCTGTTGCTTTTTCTCAACGGTCTGAAGCACTCTGAGAAGACTTTGAGATGGTGTTCATGATCAGCAACCCGATGGCATTCGAGGCAAGATTTTATTTGACGTTTTTTTTTTTTTTTTTTTCCTTCCGTCAAGAGCCGGATGACCGGGTGGTTATGGATACCTCGCGTATGGCCTGAAACGATCCACTGATGACGTCCTGTTAGTACCGCCTTCCCTGCTGTGTTCAGGTACCTGAACATCGGGGCCCAGAACCTTGAGTGCCGAAGACAACTGAACCATCAGAGGCACCATTCAACAGAAGAGCCAGCCAACCATCATCAAACAAATAAAGCCTTTCCAACGACTTTGGTTTCATACATCAACAGGTCTTGAAACATGTGAAAATGAAAAAGGTTCACCAACCTTCCTCATCTCCCTCCCCATACCCTTCGCTCTTGTTTCGGCTACTCCAAGCCCCATGGCCCCAGGGATTCCTTGCCAACCCTTTCATCTCCCTAAGCGCCTCATCCCCTTCTCCCAACACCATCGTCCCAAACTCTACCGCCAATGCCGCCCACTTCATCACCATCCACGTCTCTCCCGCTTTACTATACTCCCTCGCCGCCAATGCATACGCCTCATGAACCATCCCCCATAACCCTTCCATTTCATACAAACTCACCAACAACTCTGCCGCTTTTGTTCTATCCCCTTCCCCTTCCCCTTGCTCTCTACTCCCCATCTTCCACCCTTCCCCCTCCTCTCCCCTTCCTGCATTACTTCCCCCTTCTTGTTCATCCTTTAACAGTCTCCGAACTTTCCTGATCAACCTCACCCTCCGATCCGCCTCCTCCACCCTTCCCCCCGACCGTGAGCAAAGCTCACAAGAGCACTCAAACCCCCACGCCGTACTCAGGAGTTTCTGCCGCGCCTTACGGGATCTAAGTGGGCTGATGTAAGAGATGGTGATTTCCTCCCCGGGGAGGATGTCTTTCACGGCAGTTATCACTTGAACCAGGCCTGGCCCTCCTTTGTTGCTGTTCCAGTCAAATCGGTAATCGGCATTGGGGCGGCAGTCGTGGTTGAGACGGGAGATGGAGGAGGCGAAGACTGTGTACCAGAGGGCATCGTTAGGGTGGATTTGGTCGTGGGGAGGAGAGGAGTGAGGAGAAGGAGGCCGAGGTGGAGGTGCGGGGATGTCAAAAGCGTTAGTGGTTATAATGGTATCCGTCAGGGCTATTCGCGAAAGACCACCGGTGACGCTGGCATTCTTCGATTGCGTGGAGAGGTCGAAAAAGGCCGAGCGGTGGGCCGGTGGGAGAGAGGAGATGGCGGCCGCTTGGAGTGAGATGTAATCGGTGCGCAGCAGTTCGTCGAAGACGCGGTAGTCGATCATGAGCGTCGGGTGTGAGGAGAGTATCACAGAACCGCGAGGGATGCGGGTGCTGGCTATGAGACCCAGGCCTTTACCGGGGATGGAGCTGATGGTGTATTTTGCAGGGCTGGATGTAATATTCGAACGCGGAGTGAAGGATAAAAGGGAAGTAAGGTAAGCGGCTCGTTGAGCGGTGGTGATGAAAGAGATTCCTTCGTCATTGGTGTAGGAAGTGCTTGTAAAGACACAGAACGCATCGTTGGAAATGATGCTGTTGAAGCAGGGATTGGTACTGCTCCAGTTGTGCCCTGGGGAAGTGTTGGGATCTTCTTGGGGATGCGAGTTGGCACTGTTCCCGGCGTAGTAAGTCAACGCATCGGTATCGCCAGTCGCGAGAATGTCGGCAGCAGAGGATCGGAGGGGGTCGTCTCCTAGCCCCTCTGGTCCGCACGCTTTGTGATCATAGGCATGGTGATTATTAGCCTCGTCGACAATGATGTGTTCTTTCTCGTGCGTCAACACAATCAGTGCAGCTCCGACCAGCAGCAGCCCGGAGAACTTCATGCTTTCATGGCAAGTCGTGAAGGCAAACGAAGCATAGTAGGAACGAAACCCCCCCTTCTAGCTATCAAAAACGTAGACCATTACTCGTATTTGCCATCAATATTGCCCAAAAAGGGTTTGAACAGCTTGCCTTCCATTCAATGTCATCCCAACAATCTGGGGCCTTGCCCCAACCCGTCAATCAGGTCGGCCCTGACGACAAAGAAGAATTATCTGGGTAAGGCGGCTTGAAAGGTGCCGAGTTTCCCAAATTGGCAAATATCATTCTCCTACGAAACTATCAACACCACATATTTTCTTGATAGAGTGAAGCATTTGGTTGTGCAAGGCCAAAGATGAACTTCCATCGCACAACGAGCATAGTCAAGTCAATAAGCCAACACACGATGTTCTTACAGAGGCGGCTCGAATTAACGCCACACTCCCACTTTCGAGGATCCATTCGCCAACGCTATGCCAGTAAAAGCAAAGTCAAATGCTCTTGTCCAAGGCAGATCTCTAGGTAGACATAGAATTTTAGGTCGTAAGGGCACCTCTAGCCAGTGTTGTATTCCATTTCTTTTCCCGACTTTTCCCCGGGATATTAACCAAAGTCTTTCACATTTTGGTACAGATAAAACAAAACTCCAAGCGGCCCCAGCAGTAGCAGAGATTGCGAGTCGCATTGACGTTGAGTTATTTATTGAATTCTTTATTGTGTTTGGGGCAGTTTGTTTGCACCCCTTTCCTCAACCCTTGTTTTTGTCGAGATTGGTACTCTCTCCAGACTCAAACTTTCTTTGACATTAAAGATCTCAAGAATAATTTCTATGGAAGCACTGAAACAGAAGTACCCTGCCTCCCTGCCTCCCTGCCTCCAAACCTCATTACCTTCTCATCTCGCCGCCCCGAAGCTCACTAAGGCTCAGTACTTTCCTCTAATCTATCCTTTCTATCTCCCGCTTCAAAGCGAAGACGGAAATAATTCTCGCGTTATGTAGATGTCTCACCTGCCTTAAAGCTACCTCTAGCGTAGTGTGCGGTGTACTTTCGACTGCTTGTTTCGTTTTCTGTTTGCTTGGCTCGTGGCACGCTTCCTTGTCATGAGGCTTTTCAGTACTTATACCTTGCAGCCAAGGATATTTGAAACATGTTGTCTCAACCCAAGGGTGGGATTTTCATAGGGCTAACTACGAAGCCGGACGTATCTAGGGTGATGCTTCTGGATTGTACTGTTAGGAAAGGAAGATATTCTTTTCCTTGTTACCGAGCTTTTAAACGGTTTGAATTGCCCCTTCAGCTGCCCATGGATAAACGGTGATAACGTAGCAAGCAATGATCCCCAGATTCAGTCAAAAATAGACCTCGGGATCTTTGTCTTGTATATAGTGGTCTGGTTGAACCTGAACTTGCATGTCCATTGTCGGTAGACCGCCTAAAAGTCTCACTGACAGCTTGTCAGTCGGTCAATCAGTTAATGCTGTACTGCAGCTGACAATTGTGTGTCAATTGCGTGGGCTAGGATCTCAGTCCAGAGTACAGACAAATTGGAGTGTGTTACTCACCCTCACTGCGTTCAGTTCAGTTCTTTGCCCTCACCAATTGCCGTTGGGAAAAGTCCGAGACAGGGACATTCAGTCGGGTCTGCATGTGGGCTACCTTTGGTAGCCTGGTGGAGGCACGAAACATGTCGCTAGCTGAGACACACGAGAGCCGTGATATCTGGCGCGCGTATGCGAGGAAGCGGAAAACGTGATGAGGCGGGTGAATTTGAGACATATATGCATGGGCATGGGCAAGTACGGTACCAGAGGAACTGAGGACACACATGAATGGGTGATGGAAGGTCCAGTACTGTATTGAAGAAAAATTCTAGAAGCAAGATAAGAAAAACTGAGCCAGAGAAAGAGAGAAACTGGTTGGAAATCACAAGAGCCGCCCAATTTTGTCTTCCGTCGTTCCCATCCTCATTTAGAAGGGACTGTGCAGCACGCCATGATCGTTTCCCGTGATGATTGCCTTCTTACAGATTTGAACAAATATCAATATTAGGTAAAACCCCAACAGGGCAACAAGCAAAACAAAATTGAAGTTCTTTTGGTGGTGTGGTGATATAGCATTCAAGCTGAGGAAAAAAAAAGAAAAAAAAAAGAAAAAAAAAAAAAAAAACCTGCGAAAGAAACAAGACGATAGGTGGAGAAAAAAACAGAGACAGAGGAAATAGCAGATGACAATCCGTCATCCAGTCGTTATCTCTTATATAACTGAAGCAGCAGCCTGGTGTCACTGAGACGTAAATGTCTCAATATGACTTTGACCGGGACTTTGGGACAGGGTTCCCGTGGCTTGTCAAAAGCATGTTGACATGTTTCTTATAGCCAGACGTATCTTGTCGGTGTGAGATGTCAGGAATCATCCTGTCATCACAATGAGTGACTAGATGGGAAAGAAAATTGCAAACTCACTGGATTATTTCTTGGAAGAAGGCTTTCTCGAACCTCCATTTTCACTATCGCCGTAGATAATGATGCTTATGAAGCGTCTGTAGGGCTCTTCGGCTTGGCGAGGGTCCTCCTCATCTGGTCCATACTGAATGGTGCCTCTGGATTGCGTGGCATTTTTTGGGTCCGGATCATCGGGGCCGTCCATCATTGTCGGATTTTCCCAATCATATTGGGTTGACCCAATGAAGGACATGTAGTTGCTGACCACATCTTCGGTGATGAAAAGGCTTGAGCCACAGTTACTGGTGGATCTGATCATTTTGACGTATCGATAGTCGGTCGAAGCGGAAAAAAAATATGTATCTTAGATGGATATGTAAGTATCGTCAGCCCAATAAAGAGAAGAGGTGAGGCTTCTGTTGGATTCTCATCGTCGAGTGTCCGATAAATCTCACCCTCTCTGCCGACCAAGGAGGCTTATATACTTCAGCCGTCCGAACGGGCAACGCTTTGACCCAACATCGTGACTGCTATGTCAGGACATCATTTCACGAGACACACAGCGTTTATCGAGGGCTATCCTGTTGGGTTGAGCTGACAGTCCTGATCAGATCAAGCTCTCTCAGCATCAAAGCCACCATGACCTTGGTTGTCGACACCATGCCAAGGCTCACAGCCCATGTCAAGCTCGCATTTCCACCTCCGCAGGGTTCAATCAGCCCGAAGGCAATACAGACTCTCAATACACGATTGAGGAAGACGATCCGTACGACTTTGGCCTCCTGCGTCACAAGTTGATAGTTTGCTGCGGCCTTCCGTACGTTAATTCTCAGAGTAAGGGGGTAAGCTGAGAAGGACGGAGGAGTCAGACCGGGGAAATCTTCCTATTCCTCGGCATATTGACACTGAGACATCATCCATCCCGGCGGCATCTGGCAGGCTGTCTTGGTGATAGTTACCATGGAGGCCAAGAAGGGCAAACTACCGGCGTTTCGTGATGCCGTGAAGTCAAGAGGATACGGTACACTGCTTCTTGGGCAGGATGATGTCTGACCGCCAATTCCGAAAGTGGTCCACAACTGGCAGTGAAAGGGAGGTGCGAAGCGGGCAGAGCCGCATTCAACGGAGCAACGGACATATCTGGTCTCGGGAAGTGGCTGCTGGAGCCGAGCCCAAGCCGGCCAGCCTCGGACTAGATGATTGAAAAGAGAAGGAAATATCTCGACACTCGGGTGAAACTTCCTTCATCCCCGGTGGGAGACGCCTGAGCTGGTAGTTACTCCTGTGTTCAGCGAGTCCAGGGGCTTGAAGTCTATACTTGACCATGGTACAGGCCACAGAGCAACCCAACATGATTTGCTGAGTCGGGCGGTTATCGAGTCGGACTAGGGATATAGGAACGACTTGTGCGTCAGCTTAAGATGCTGTAGTGTTCTTATGCCTGACATGGTATGACGAAGCAAGGTTTGATTGACGAATGAACGCACCGTGGTTTTGTCTCTCGGCTTCTGAAGATGTGATTCCAGGTGCCCAAGACCATCAGATTCGACCCTTTGCATATCTGTAACTCGAGATTTGCGACTTTGGTTGCTGGATGTTTCAGTTGCGAGAGGGGTCCGGAGCAGGGAGGTGAGGCTATCGCCAACCACGGTCGGCACAAACTTGCATACCTCCCCGTTTACCCATACCCATGAGTGACCCATTTGGTCATTGATTCCGACAGTGGCGTAGAGCCCCTCGCCTCTCCGCAACCGACCAGCAGTGTCCTGTTGACCCCCATCGGCTGTAGCTGTCCGTGAAGTTTAGGAAGACAAGACCCAGAGGGGCACTTTCCAGATACACAGAGGAGCTTCTCAGGTAGGACGATGCCGGCAACTCCTTCCACGGGGAGTATCTCGATTTAGGCATGGAGTAGCTTGGAAGCTCCAACGGACGGCGAAGACGGCAGACGATGGTGTACGGCAGCGGTTCGTTAAGCTGTAGCCAAATACGAGCACGGTACTGATCCACGAGGCATCCTAGACCCGTCTTGCTCTGTTACGTGGTACGGAATCTATCACCTACACACGGGGAAACACACAGAGAGGTTCTAGGGTGAGATGCCTTACAGTTATTGCGCCTCTGTGGCCATCCGTATTTGACATGTTGGTTCAACGAAACTGAAGGGAGTGGCTCTTTCGATTTGATTGAGAACGCTTCGTTCCATGTCACCTAGGTCACCCGGGTCACCCTGGCACGGCGGCTGTCATCATATTGTGGACAGGTATTTCATTGCCGTTCACATGCCGTATCTTGATGGGATTGGAGATGTAGAGAACCCCCCGCCGACCGGTCTCAGAGCCATTGGGAAATGAACGCGCTGATGTCGTATGAATAGCGGGAGGGAGACTCAAGTTACTCTTGCACTCTTATTGACCGACAGCGAGTGGAGGAGTCAGTCAGTCTCGGTTGATTTAAGGTGCGTTGATAAGTGTTTAATGAAGAAAGGAAGAAAAAGTGGACAACCGGCGGTTGCGACAATTTGGTTTTGTACCTTGCATTGCGATTGCAGGCAGGCAGCGCACAGGCCATCTGCCGTCAGACTCGGACCGACAACTGCCGCCCCTCCGCCTAAACAGGAGCGGGCGCAATTCATGGTGGGGTGAGTGGCGCACGGGCCATATGCAAATGCGAAGACAAAACTGCGCCGAGAATTTGAAATTTCTGATCCCTTTCCTCCTTTTCACAGCACAAGCACAACAAGCTGACAACCAACAAAACGACAACATTTTTCTCAACTCATCCAAACTCTGCGCAACGTCGCAAGAGATCCCCATCGCCCGACCTCAACTATGTTTGGCTGTCATGTTCAACATGCCCCGGGTGTTACGCCAGAGCTGTTATTCGTGTTCTCCTGCTCCCCGATGCAGTTGCTCCGGCAGCCATACAACGGTTTGACGGCGGCGACACTATCTCCTCCTTTGACTGACCTAATTCAATCCCCTTTGCCAGCGTCGCGTCACAAGATTACAAACACAATCACACACACAAAACCCACAACTTGCCTGCCTCTGCGCTATCTCTCCTTGCGCTCTAGGTTAACTTAATTTTATCGTTCGCGTGGAAGAAAAATCCCAAGGCCTAGACAGCCGGTCTAATCCACCCCGCTGCAGCTGAGTGTTCTGTCCTATGATCACTCGCGTGCTGTAGCGGGACTAAAAAGGACAAACATCTCATCTCCCCCTTAGCATAGCTTGTTCTTGCATGGCTTCTCTGTGTAACACATCTACACCCGTATCCATGCTGATCGCTGAGTGAACTCGCCGCAGTAGAAGCGATTGAGCTGAGGCAGAGTGTCTGGTATCAAGATGCATGCTTTCGATTCTTTGTAACTCTCCATGCGTTTCATTCAATGAAAACCATGCGTGCGTAGTTCTCGGGGCTGACTTTCTCGGACTTCACGCACGGTGTTCCGTCAACATTTAAGGAATAAAGCGAGCAGCATAGTACCATACCGCACCATTTTCCTTGAACCTGAACATAGCACAGACAAAACTCTCCTCGGATGTTCCTGTTTGGTGCTACGAGCAGAGACCGAGGAACGAGGTATGCGCAACGTATCCTGCCATCTGATGAGAGACGGGGGAGTCACAGAACACAATCCTGCAGTGAGCTCAACATCTAAGCAGCATCACATCTCGTCCGTGGTCGCCCTGGCTCAAGTGGGAAGAAATACGATATGCTCACCATCCCTTACACTGTCAGCTCAAGAGACTCAGCCTCAAGTTTTGTCCTACTTTGAGGACCTTTGCAGGGTTTTGGTACCAGCCAGTCGGTCTTGATGCTGCCGACGCGCCGAGGTCTGGTGATACCTTCATCGACTGATTGGTATGAGATGGCGACTGCCTTGCGTCATGCTCAGCCACTTTGATCCATATTAGCACGAATCAAGGAATATCAGAGGGTAAGGTTAGCTATTTACCTCTCCCATCAATATCATCAAGCGATGAGGGATCATAACTGAAAGACGAGTGTTTTCACACAAACTCGTTTAGTTCGTTTTGGTTGCCTCTTTGTCTACACTTGCATCTCTATGCTGTAGCTGAACATGATGGCCTTAGTTTCCTGTCTACCTGGTCTAAGGAGACTGTAGTCTCGCTAGAGGTAAACAAACCTCAACTTGCACACATTCGCATCAGTACACATCCCCCTACCACAACACCCGACCCATGGGTTCACAACCACCCCAACCTCTTCCACAAAAAGCTTCCCCCTCCCACCAACGCCGTCACTCCCGTAAACGCAATTAGCCCTCCATACCCACTTCCATACCCAGCCAACGCTTGCCCTTGCCACGGCAGCTCCTTAACCAGCGTCTCACTCAACGGCCCACTGACCACATTTCCCACTCCCCTGCCCAGCGCCAAAAAGGCAAACACCATAGTCGGATCAACCGGCTTACTCCCGTGTTCATTTTCAGTCTCGGCAGAGCCACTATGACCCAACTTGGCAACCTCCTTCATAATTCCCGGCCACGCACTCGTGAAGCTGCCCGCAAAGAACCCATACACCACACAAAACACATACAACACTGCCAAGTTGGTGCCGAACCCCCAGAGGAAGAAGGTCCCCAGCACGGTGCCGGCTGTCGACAACATGATGCAGGTGGTGACGTCCAGCCGGTCAATGAACCAGCCCATGGCAACGCAGCCGAAGACGGAGGCAACATTGAGCAACAAAAGAGTTAGAGACGTGAGAAACCCCTGGGCTTGCAGGACGGAGCGCGCGTAGGAGGGGAGGTAGATACCCGGGAGGAAGAAGCCGAGGGCTTCGATTATGTTGAAGAGTTGGTAGAAGAGGAAGGGCCGGGTGAGGACGAAGGAGAAAGAGGGGGTGTAGGGGGTTGGGGGTGCAGCGTGGACGTTAGTATTGTTGTTGTTGTTGTTGTTGTTGTTGTTGTTGCTGGTCGGGGTTGTTGTCCCAGACGTAGAAGAGTTCGAAACTGCTTCACTTGCCGCAAACTTGCCCCCAACAGAAATCCTAGGCTTCAAAAACCACGCCAACGGCGCCGTCAAGACGAATACCGCCACTGCCCAGATGCGTAGTGTCGTCTGATACCCATACTCGGACAAAAGATGTTCCAGCAACGGCGGCAGAACCACGCCCGCCAAACCAGTGCCGGACCACATAATCCCGTAAGCCAATCCCTTCTTCTTGACAAACCACTCATCCAGGTAGAGGATGCAAGGAGAGTAAGCGATCGAGCCCCCGATGCCGTAAAGAATTCCCTGGGTGACGATCAAGTGCGTGACGGTTGTGGAAAAGGACGACATGGCGAGGGCAAAACACATGACTAGCAACCCAACAATGGGAGCCCATCGCGCGAACCGCGGAAAACGCCGGAAGAAGGACATGATTAAGGGAGTGTCGATGTACATGATACCCATGGCGCAGGTGCCGATAACGGCGAGGTTGCTGGAGGAAGAAAAGGGCGGATGGATGCTGTAGTAGTCTTGGAAGACGCCGAAGGAGTAGGGGAAGCCTGGTGTAGAGGGTCACGGTCAGCATTTGGCCTTTTTGGCTGATGTTACCTGAGTTAGAGGTGCATGATAAATGATGCTGAACGTACCCCAAACTAATGCTTCGACAACGAAACAAGCGGCTAAAAAGAGCCAGGCGTCCTTGCCGCCGTCAACTGGCGGTAGCTGGGAGAACTCATGTCTTACAGGTTCTTGAACAGAGGTATCTTGGGGCTCAGGAGTGCCGGTCTCAGCTCGGCGGATTGGGTCGAAGTCCGCATTGCGTTCGGTGGTTCGATAGGATGGAGGCAGTGAGTCCAGTGGTATATCAAAGGTTGATTGGGAAGCCATCTTGAGGTGTCTCGTCACCTGCCGAGCTTTGGTGGAACGTGTTGTCTTCCACTTGTATGTCAGACCCGAACTTATCTCTTTTCCTATTTGAGGAACTCAATCTGGAGTAATAGAGATTAATGGAAGTGCCAACATCGAAAGGGACACTTCCATCTTTTATGTCTGTGCCTTCAAGGACCCAAGTTTCAAGACGAGATACTAACACTTGCTGTTCTCCATAGGCCCCACAGGCCCACAGCAGAATGACAAGCGTGCGCCCTTCGTTGACAGTTCAGTGCCACTCTGCGCTGCGGTCAACTTGGAAGCTATTTCTTTTGAGGGAAGGATTCCCGCCGCCTTGGATGACAGGGAACTGGTTGCTAAGGGCCATTTTCTTGGTTTCGAAAATGGAACGATCAAGCCCCTGACGGCAGTCTGCCCTTGCTGAGGATGAGGAGGATACGAGGAGAAAAAGACAGCGGTGGAGACGCTCCTATAGGTCGCGGGAGAGGACTGTACACAAGTGTACATCGAGTTGGAGCTTCGTCCATTGCGTGATAAAGATCCATTGTTTTCATCAACTACCCGGTTGTTCCTCTTCATTACGCCGTAAAATTCACATGTTACAGACGGTCAGCGGCCCCAGTCTCAATGCCATCAGGTTCGGCGTATTTTCAGTACTCTGACGGTTATTACCGTCCCTGATCCCTGACGGTTCTGACAGATGGATGACCAGGTAGGTCAAGATAAGGACTGCTGTAGTGCGCATAGGTTGACCCACCTGATCACTAATCGTACAAAAGCGTAATCCGAGGTATGAAATTTGGGCTTATCAATGACTTTGAATACTGCGAGGAATGGAAATCAATGTGGTGATTCTGATGGATTGATTGGTCTGAGAAGACAGTCTTGCGCTAGGTAAATATCCCGATAACGAAAGCCCGGAGTGGTGGATGATTTGTTCGAGACTGGATAGTGCAATCCTTCAACTTCCAAAACCTACCTAGGTATGTAACCTCGTTCTAACCACCTTTCCAAACACGTCCTCAACTCCCCATCATCCATTGACTTGCCAAAGGAGAAAGACCATGTTAATATCATAATGACTAACTCCCGTCTTCATAGGGCCAAAGTGGATAGCCGAGGCATGACCGTCTCCACCCCCGCATTGTGGGGAACATCTTCACAGTTCCAAGCCCGCTGGCCCCGCGTAAACAGGGGTTCGTCTCATTCTCGGCATCCGGGGAAGGAATTCCATCTTTTGGAGTCTTGCATATCAAGATCTCTCTCACTTCTTCCTCTCTTTTGCTTGCAACACAGCTTCAGTCCAGAAAATTCAAAATAGGTAGTCCCACCAATACGGAGCCATGGCGGAACCATCAGTCATCAACGTCGAGTACAAGGGCCGACTGGCCATCATCACCATCAACAATGAAAAGAAACTCAACGCCCTCACCCAGATGCAATACTACGATCTGGCTCAACGGCTACGCGAGGTTGCGACCCACGATGAGGTCTACATTACCCTGATCATTGGCACCGGCCGTTACTTTTCTGCGTAAGCCAAGCTTTAGTTTACTTCCCATTACCTCTTCCCCTGACCGCCACAACCGGCACTATGTAACACAGCAATCAAGCCCCCAAGTATAATCCGTTTTGTCACTTTTCATAAATCAGCAAACAACTAATATACATGTCACCATACATAGTGGTGCCGACGTCTCCATCTCCAGATCCAACGTCGCCCCCTCCGAAGGTCTCTCCTCCCAAGACGCCATCCACAACCACTGGCTCCGCAACTTCGTCGCCAACAACCTCAACATCACCCAGGCCTTCTATACGCACCCCAAGATTCTTATCGTTGGTCTCAATGGGCCTGTCATCGGCCTCTCCGCCGCTTTGGTTTCCTTCGCCGACTTCATCTACTGCGTCCCCTCCACTTTTCTGCTCACCCCCTTCTCGTCACTCGGTCTAGTAGCCGAGGGAGGCGCCTCTCGCGGTCTTGTCCAGCGATTGGGTCTACCCAAGGCTAACGAGGCGTTGATTATGAGTAAGAAAATTACAAAGGAGGAGCTGGTGCAGACCGGGTTTGTGACCAAGTGCTTTGAGCAGGTCGGAAAGGGAGAGACGGAAAAGTTTAAGGGGTTGGTGTTAAAGGAAGTTGAGGAAAGGTTGGGAGATCATTTGGTCGGAGATAGTTTGTTAGGGATCAAGAGTCTGATCAGAAGGCCCGAGAGGGATGTGTATGATGCGCAGAATGTGGCGGAGGTGATGGCGGGTTTGGATAGGTTCGTTAGTGGAGTGCCGCAGGGGGAGTTTGAGAAAATTGCGAGCGGGAAAAAGAGGCATAAGCTTTAGGGGGGGTTTGTGTAGACTCGCGAGTGGAGAAGAGGATGAGGGAATGGTTGTGTATATCATTTTACAACAAAGTAAGAGCCTTGATCCAAGTTGTATGACCCAGAACGTCATCCTAAACGCCCATATATGCCCGCCCATTTCCCGTTTTGCCTTTCGTCATACGTCCGTCAACCATTTTTTAACCCAAACATATGAAGCATTTACCTCCCTCATAACCTCCCACTCTCACTTCCACCCGCACCCACGGACGCACCTCCCCTCACCCCGACATCTCTCTCCGCCCTCCTCCTCCTACCTCTCACCTCAGCCTCATCCAATTTACTTCTCTCATCATCACTATCCCACCCCCTCCCATCACTTTCCTGGCCCTGCTCAACCCCTGCCTGCCCATCCTCACTAACCGTTCCACTCCTCTCACTAATCACACTACACCCATCACTCCCACTCCCACTCCCACTTTCACTATCCCACTCACTATCATCCTCATCATCACTCCAAACCTCCTCGTTACTATACAAAAAGAATTGTATAAAAATCGCCGCATCCAACAACAACGTCCCCGCGCTGCCCGCCAACCAACTCATGTTGATCAGCACATAGCGCCAGTAAATCTGTCCTGGCTCTCCATCCTCGCAATCGCCCGGGCCAGCAGCGCATTCCGACGATCCGTCGTAGGCCAAGATGGATAAGACATAGGTCAAGTTGCCCAGGCAGGCAAACAAGAAGAAGAGCATGGAGACACCCTCGGTGGACTTGCGCCGAAAGTTGAGAAGTAGCTGAGGAAGTCGAGAACCGAGGTAAAGGATGGCGGAGAGGTAGCCGTAGATTTGACCCCAAAAGGAGAACTCGACTCCTGTTTTGGGGAGGCCGCCGTCTTGGGGATCGGAAGATGGAGGAGGTTCATATGATGGTTGTTGTGGGTAATACTCCCGAGACAAAAACCAACCCATGACGCCGGCTGCGCAAACCATGAGGATGGCCATGAGGTTGAACAGGAAGGATTGCAGCTTCGTGGGACCGGCAGCAGCAGGTCGTGCACGGTTGTTGCCGTTGCGCCCGCGCGGTTGCTGCAGGATTTCGGCTTCGAGGTCGGCGTCGTCGACGAGGGGGACCGCGGGCGAGAGATGCGACCAGCTGGACCCGCGACCTTCGCCGGTACCGTCGTAGGGGTAGAGATCGCCGCCGCCGCCGCCGCAGACTCTGAGGTGGTGGCCGTGACCGGTATGTCCGTTGTTGTGGTGGTGGGGAGTTAAGGTAGTGCTGGTGATAGTGCTCGCGGATGAGGATGACACGCCTGCATTTCCTCTTTCTCTTGCTCCTCCCAGCAAAGCGGTACGCTCATCCGGTCCCGATTCCAAATCTTCTCCTACCCTTCTTCCTTCATCGCTCGACGTCCCCCGACTACCATCAGCCCTCCCCTTACCCTTGTTCTTTCCGCGTCTGCTCCCCATATCACGCTCTGAAGTAGCTTCACTGTCGTCGGAGTCAATGGCAATGGTGGGAACCACTTCATCCCGCCAGGTAAATCCCCGATAATAGAAACATTGCGCCAAAAGCACCACGTCGGCAATGGTGTAATAAATGGCCAAGATGAGCATGGTCGGCAGGACCCCTTGCAATACGGCCCCCAAGATGTTGAAGACATCGCCCGTTAACCAGATGATGATGAATTGGATGGAGAGTCCATCGGCGGATGAGCGGCGGAAGTTTTCGATGATTTGCGGGGAGAAGACGACGACCCAGCATGCTATTGATACGGAGCTGTTGAGAGGGTTTAGTAAGATGGAGAAGCTGAAGTTAATTGGGAGTGGAATGAGACATACCCGAGGATCCCCGATATGGCCTCGACGTCGAGGTTGAGGAGTTCGGTCGGGGGCGCCATGGTGGCTGCTGTTGTCCGTAGGACCGCGTGTAATGCTGTCTCACTGTTTTGTGCAACCGTCTCTTGATAGGTACAGGTTGGGGTTTAAGCGTGAGGAAGGATGCGATGGTTGATGAATGAAGACGCTTGTTGATGCGCTTTGCTCTCCCGCCTTATCGATTGAGTTGTTTGCCTCTAAGATTCGTTGGGACTTGGAAGCCCAGTTCACCTCGCTCTTTGTTGTGTCCTTGTTTTGTGGGTTTGGTAGATAGGAGATACGTCACTTTATTTGAGAGCCGCCCTGAGGATTCATGAGCGGTCGGTCAAAGAGTTATAGAGTACAAACTGAAGTGAGGCTCAAGATAACGATGCAAAATGCAAAGTCAACAAAAAGGGCTGAACAAAGGAAAGAGTCGACCTGGTTACAATCCAATTCGAGTCATACATGGTGAAAAGTCTGATGGTCGCATGACTAGTTTTAATCCTTTGCCTCTTCATCCGCAAACCGGTTCCCCCCCAAGGTTGACCCGCCTGCAAGATACGTGTAATGCATCCTCGGCGGCGGCAAAAGAGCCCTTAAAAACATGCACGTCTCAGGCGGCTCAAGCATCCCGGGCTGTGGATCTTGTGGGGTACGTCAACCGCTAGATGAAACCCTAGTACAACAACATCCAACAACAGCATCAGAACCCATCGAGGGAAACCCGGGTTTCTGATAGACCAAAAGCAGACTGTTGGTTTAGAACTCTTCCTTCTGCCTGTTTGTTGGGTTTGAAAAGTCATGATGGACTGGAAAAATAATGTGGCATGTCCTAATCATTGCTCTAACATTCCAGTGTTTCATCCCCAAAACTACTTCTTGAACTATCCGTGTTGAAGATACTGAAGATAACGAAATTAAAGTGTTCGGTTGAGGATCGTGTGTTTGTTCAGAAATTGCCCAATCTAAGGATTTATCATGTGGTGGTGTTATATTTGATCCGAAGTTGAGATTTGGGCATTTGCATTGATTTGTCCCAGAGCTTCTACTGGCTCCCATTCAGGCCTTGTATCCTTTCCAAGTCAACATCGCCTTTCCACCCTTTCGAATCTTGGCGCACAAAAGATCTCAAGGAAGGGCACAGAAACGAAGAGGGATTAGGAATTGGGATAAAACAAAAAAAACTTTGAGGGATTCTTGTAGGACCCTGTTCTCAGACCCGGGGTTTTACTATGGACCTGTACAACACGATTGAACAGGGTGCCAGTACCGGCGACCTCCGGTGTTGAGAATAACGGATATTGTAGTTTTTGACGAGGTATCGAGTGTGTTCAAGAAATACAATGCCATTGTGTGTGCAAGCCCCCTTTTTCCGTTTCCGTTGAGACCATGATTATCGACAACCCAAAAATTTATACATGCATGATATACCCAGAGTACTACAAACCAGTCCAACAACCACGACAACCAGATCCAAATCAAGAAAGCTTGATACTCTTGACCAAGCCGGTCTTGATACCCGACAGTTCTCCCTGGTATCCGCCCTTGCCCTCGCCGCCCTTGTACACGGCCTTGACACTCTTGAGCTTCTTCTGCTTCTCCGCGTACTTCATCCTCTTCTTGACACGCGGGTTGCGGTTCTCCTTCTTGCGATGCGGCGTGAGGCCCTTGTTCTTCTGGATCTGGTAGTTGATTTGGCGCTTGCCGTCGGGGCCGATCGTCGTCTCCTCCACGACCCGGGCGCCCTTGGCCGCCGCCAAAGCCTCGTACTTGGCCGCCTTGTCCTCCTTCTTCTTGGCCGCGTTGTGCGCCACCATGTCGTAGTACTCGTCCTCCTCCCCGCGCACCTGCTTGGCAACGGCCTTGTCCTCGTCGTCGCTGTCGCCCTCGCCCAGCACGGCGCCGTGCTTGCTGTCCTTCTTGCCGCGCTTCTCGGCCTCGGCGTTGAGCCGTGCTTGCCTGTCTCTCTGCGCAAAAGTCAGTATATGACAACACGGAATGTTTTTTAGGCAATGGCCGACTTACAAATCTCTCACGGTAGGGAAGATCGTCATCACCACCGGCGTTGCGACCCGCATCCGCACGCTTGGCGGACTTGGACACAATCTGGGAGGTGTAGAATTTGAGACTCTTCTTGCGAGCAGCCTTCTCCTTGGCCACGTGAGCTTCAAGGATCTCCTCGTCACCAAAGTCGGAGCGCTCATCGTCATCGCGCTTGTCGACCTTGACAGACTTCTTGCTGGCCTTGGTTGCCGTCTTGGTGGTTTCAAGCAGACTGGAGAGATCGGCAAGAGACTGCTCGACAGCCCTGGCCTTCTTGGCCTTCTCGGCCTCCTTCTTCGCCTTGGCCTTGAGCTCAGCCTTGGATTCGCGCTTGCTCTTCTTGAGCATCTTCTTGAAGTCCTCCATATCGTCGTCAGACAGGTCATCATACTCGCCCTCATCTTCGGGTGGCGAAAGCATGCCGCTGGTCGAGGAGACGCTCTTGAGCGGCTTGAGTTCCTTGACCTTGAGCCAGGCCTCGCGACAGCTCATTAACGTGCCCATAACCTCGTGGTCCCTGAGTTCCGTAGGGCTGATCGTCTTGGAAACACCTTGGCTGTCTCTTGCTGGCGAAGTCAGGATAGCGAAATAACTGGCGAGTGAAGCGATGTAGCACCCAAGAGTCCAGAACTTGACCATCTCCAGAGACTTGGCAGGCTTGCCCTCGGCCTCTTTTTGGAGAGTTGTGAGAATCGGCTGCAGCTCCCTAAACTCCTGTGCCAGGTAGTCAAACTCGGGATATCGGCTCTGTAGAAGCTTGTATCTTTCTTCCGGCCCCATGTCCTCTGTGACTTCGATCTCGTTGAGTTTCTCGGTAATGACATCCTCCTCTCCCTCGGCCTCCTCCTTGGTTCCTAGCCATTCGCTCTCGTCGAACGCGAAATCAGCCTCGGACATCTTGGCCAACTTCTTGGCCTGTAGCCTCTTTGCCTCAGCCTCTTCCTCCAAGGCATCGGCCTCGGTTTCGATCTGGTCGGCATTGTAATAGTCCTTTCTGGAGGAACCCCACCATCCTTCGTCGCCTTCTTCCTCCTCTTCACCACCCATCTCTTCGTCGGAAAGTACTGTTGTCTTGACCTTCTTGCCCTTCGCGGGCGCGGCGTCTTCGTGTTCGCTCTCCTCATCGGATTCGTCCTCCTCAAAAACCTCCTCATCAGAAGCCTCTAGGAACTCCTCCTCCTTGTCTTGGCGCCTGCGCTTGGATTGTCTGCCATCATCGCTGTCGTCAAAGTCGATGCGATCCTGGTTCTCCCAGTATTCGTCTTCGGAGTTGGCGACATCTTTGTAAGTCTTAACGGTAAGGCGGGCGTCCTTGGCGTCGACCTCGCGAGGCTCGGCGGGACCGGTCGGTCTCGGGGCTTTTCTCTTCTTGGCCATTTTTGCGTTTGTGTCGCGTTTATCTATTCAGGCGGGTTGGATGGAGTCTGGCGCGACTGAGAAACGTTGACGTGAAGACGCTGCCAAAAGGCACTTGGAGATGCTCGTTGAATGGGCTGGTGGGTTCGTTCGTTCGCTAGGCGGGCAACAAATGTTGAAGCGGCAGAATTTTTTTGCTCTTGTCAATTTGCGATCCATTCCCAGCGGGACCTCGACCGCCCAGCTCCACTCTTATGCAGGCCGCATGACCCCACAATTGAAGATGCTCCACAGTTACATCTGAAATGGTCAAAGCTTCCATCCCGTCCTCAGGGTCGACGGGAAGCTCCAAGATGCCCCCCCAGGCCTGCCAGATTTACGTTGACATGACCTCAATGGGTTATGACAGTAGAGAAAACCGCTTCTGAAGACTCGAAAGCGCAAAAGTCTGCATATCTTCCCAGAAGCTTCAACTTTCTTACGGAATGCGAAGAAATCGGCCAAATCATCACCCATCAACAAGTCACTTACAGACAGGGGTGTAAGCTCCAGTACGACGGGAACTGCTGACAGCATCCACTTGTAAATTTACGCCGTAGAGGTACTCGTTCGTACTCTAGGTAGAATAGCTTAGGCGCGCCGCGTCAACAATTTCCTCGAGCCCGATCTTCTTCCACGATCTAAGGATGAACCATCATTTCTTCTCAGAGCCGTTGATGGAACAACTGAAAACCCTCAGCACCTCCTGGTCTCTTCCAGTTGCAGCTATCGTCGCGGCAATTGGCATATTTGCTACAATGGGTCTCTTCAGCTCCAAAAACCACATGCCAGTCGAGGGCCGGGTATGCGCCCCGAAGCCTAACCTGACCTGACCCGACCTCCAAACAACACTAACTCAACCCCTGTTACCAGACCGTCCTCCTAACCGGCGCCTCCGAAGGCATGGGCCGCTCAGCGGCCATCCAACTTTCGCAAAAGGGCGCCAATGTCATCCTCGTCTCGCGCAACGTCGGGCGCCTTGAAGAAGCCCTCGTCGACGTCCGTGCCGCCGCCAAGAACCCGTCCACACAACGCTTCACTCACATTTCAGCCGACGTTTCCGAGCACGACTACGCCGCCGCGGTCCTCGCCGAAGCCATCGCCTGGAATCGCGGGCGCTCCCCGGACATCGTCTGGTGCGTGGCCGGCATGTCGACGCCTCTGCTGTGGACCGACGATGACAGCATGGCGGCCGCACGCCGCAACATGGACGTCAACTACTTTGGGTCGGCGGAGATGTCGCGGGCGATTTTGAGGGAGTGGCTGGCACCCGAGAACAGCACGGGACCCAAGGGAGAGCCGAAGCACTTGGTATTTACAGCGTCAATGTTGGCGCTTTTTGCGATTTTGGGCTATGGCCCGTACACCCCAACCAAGTGGGCGCTGAGAGGACTGGCGGATACCCTGGCGATGGAGGTCAATTACTACCCGGATAACCCGGTCAAGGTGCATATTGTGTATCCCGGCACGATTGTATCGCCGGGCTACGAGAGGGAGAATCAGACGAAGCCGGACATCACGGTGGAGCTGGAGAAGGACGAGCCGGCGGAGAGCCCGGATACGGTAGCAAGGAGGGCGATTGCCGGGCTGGAGGCTGGTAAGTACTTTGTCGATGTGTCGTTCCTGGGAAGGTTGATGCAGTGCGGAATCATGGGCGGGTCGCCGAGGAATAACTGGGTGCTGGACACGTTGATGGGGTGGTTCATACCGATCATTTACTTCTTCGTTTTGAGGGGAATGAACTCAACGATTGTGAAGTGGGCGAGGGAAAAGGGGCATCCTTTTACGCATCCCAAGAAGAAGTGATGCGATGATTGGATCTGTTCTTTTGTATGGATGCGTATATGATATCTATGAACATAAAATAGTGTAATAACTTTGTTGTAATAGACGGATGTCAGCCTCAAGACAACTTGGACAGCCGTCTCCTATGTAAGACACTCACCTCGAAGTCAAAGCACCACTTCTTCATCGCGGTCCGGATGCGTTTTGAGACCAAGAATGAGCAATACATACTTAGTTGAATGAAAACGGCTTTATACCATGCTTGTGTTGTCCAGCAATAAGTGTATATTCCGATGTACAGCTGTTTGGAGCAGCGCTTGGTGGGTGCGGAGACAGAAAAGTGACTACTAAACTAGGTAAGTATGGTGTGTCCCTGTTGCGGGCTGTATGAATCATCAGGGAGAACCTGCTCTTACTGTATACTAGACTTACAGATTGTATCGATGGAATGTGTGAGCTTCGGTTCAGAGCTTTTGACCTACGCCAGTATACATGTGGATAGGTATCAGCTGGTGGACTGACTCGGAACTTCATCCATTCCCCACTTCCCGTTTCTACGATTACTATCGGGTCAGCACCGTGAACAGACATACATCATATCAATACTATAGTCATCATTCCCACTCCATCTGGACTCTCTTACACGCTCCATTTCTAGACCTTGGGGGAAACATTTTGATTTCCTACACCGGGCGATTTACTCCACTTTTTTTGATGGCACTTGACCATCTACGAGGATCGAGGCGGGAGGGGCAGAAGGCACGGATCACATTTCATGATTGGACCATTATTCTTCGTTGTCAGTGTTTTGTGGCTTGTGCGCTCTGACATAGCAGGTGGGCGTCTGTGCACAGTTGCACAAGTCGGGTGATGGACACTGGCTCGCAGTTGCCGCCACCTTTTGGCTGCTGGTTGCCTGCCGGTGACTGCCCGCCAGCTAAAATGTCGCGTCCGTCGAGCGGTGTCCCGCCGATCCAGCCGTTCCTTGGACACCCGCACCTTTCTCTCCTCTCCTCCCCAAACTTGTCGCCCGACCTTTGGAACACCAGCTGATGACAGCTGCTCAACACCAACTCACCCTACCAAGCGCCATTACCAGCCCATACAGCGACGACCAGCTCGCGACACCTGGTAACCGCCTGTCATTGCTGCCAACTGGTACCAGCAACCCGGTCCCAAGCGGACGAGTATGAAACCATCGCCAATCCGCCCTGTCGCTGGCCCCGGATCCGGTGTCCAGCGCGGTGCTGTCGGTCAGGTTCCCGGAGCTGTCGGCCAGGTCCAGGTCGGCTCCGTGGGACTTCAGGCCGGCTCTGCCCCCGGCCAAGGCCAAGTCCCAGCCTCGCGACTGACTCCGGGCCCCGGCCCAACCAAAGTGACCAAGCCGACCACCCCGGCACGTTCTCGCGCTGGCGCCAGTCCTCACTCGCTGGTCCGAAACAGCCAACTGGTCCAGCAGCTTGCTGCTCACGAAGCTCAGCTCCAGCAGTTCCAACAGCAACAGCAGCTGCAACAACAGCAGCACCAACAACAACAGCAACAACAACAACAAAATCTGGCTACCAACTTGAGCCCTGACCAGGACCCTAACCACGTTAACCAGATCCATCCCCAACTTCAGGCCCAGCTTCAGCTCCAGCATCAGCAGGCTCAGGAGCACGACCTCCATAGCCATCACCTGCAACAGCATCAGCCAGATCAAAACCAGGATCATCTTCAGCATCAACAGGAGCAACATCAGGAGCCTGATATTGACCAGGATTCCCTCAAGCCAGACCCGTCCGCCTACGACGACCCTACGGCCAGGATGGGCACCGAAGAGTATGCTGCCGCTGCTGCTGCTGCCGTCATGGAGACGGGTCTTGGTCAACCCGGCTCCCTGAATGATGGCACTGGCGAGCCGGATGTTGACGCTGAGATGGAGGACCAAGATGCCTCTGCCGCTGCGAACTCGGGACTCGGCGGCCATGTTGATCTTAGTGGTGCCGGCATGATAGGTAACCCAGGTGCCCCTGGTGGTGTGCCTCAACCCTCTCCCCAGGACCACTCTCAACATCAACAACACCAGCACCAGCAGCAACAACAACATCAACACCATCAGCAACAACAGCATCAACAGCAACAGCAGCAGGCCGATATGCTTCAGGGCCTTGGACAGCCCCAGGCCCATCCTCATCAACATCAGCACCAACCCCCTGTTGCCCCCATGGGCCAGCCCCAGCAGATGCAGCCGTCCCCTCATCAGCACTCAATGGACCCTCAGCTATCCAAGAGCACGGAGGATATGGCTCATGAATCCGGTTATGGCCAGCTAAACGTCGAGAGTGCTCTTGCCAAGAGATTGGCTCGTGAGCCCGGTCATCGTCTTGCCCAGCAGAGGCGCCCTGAGCAAGTGCTGAACCTGGCACGTAGAAGCAATGTTGAAGCTTTGTTCGCTCACATTGCTGGTGAGCCGGCTCGCGTCCCTTGTAAGAATTGCCACAAGGGCCACGGTCCATGGACCAGCTGCATTGTGGTGGACGGCCAGATGTGCGGCAGCTGTGCCAATTGCTGGTTCAATGCCAGTGGTGCCAGATGCAGTTTTCACGGTAAGCTTTTCTCAGATGCTTGCAAGTGCGACGATGAGCTACAATGCTAATATCACGGTCTCAGAAACGCGCAATCCCCAAAATTCCCAGCAGCAGCAGCACAATGCGGCGATCCTGCCGAACGGGGCAAACGGCGGGATCAATATTTCGGCTGACCCCAATGCCTTTCGCTTTGGCACTCCTCACCCTCTCGGTACCCATGCTGCCCTTGCTGCTCCTGCTCCTGTGAGTGCTATCGCTCCAGCAGCTCCCTCGATGAGCAATCCAATGCTTCAGCACATGTTGAATCGGGCCCTGTCCGAGGTACGGAGCGCGGACAAGGCGACCCGGCAACTTATTCTCATGGAATGCGCTGCCAAAAAACTGGCGTTGAAGATGGTCGATTACGAGGAGCTTATCAGCTCTCAGGAGCAGTCAGGGAACCCCGGAGGACCTGGCCAGCAGGGCTTGGGCGAAGATGCGGGCGCATAGGAAGAAAACGCTCCTGATCTACATTTGGAGAACTTCTCACTCGTTCCGGACTTAGAGGACTTTATGGGCATACATATCGCCCCGTCGGCTTCGTCCTGATCATGCGGCTTTTTCACGACGCAAAAATCTTCCCGTCCTGCAACTCGACCATCAATCCTGGACCCAGCATGGGTCATTACTGTCCGCACAACCACGCAGTTGCGTGGATATACTGTTGCTACCCGATTCGCACGCGAAAGTATCATCACCCCATATATAACCTTTCGACATATCACAGCAGAAATTTGGTTTCTTCCGAAGGATCAAGGGTCATGAAGAGCCTTATCCACATAAAACCACTACCAATACCTTTCCGTTTCTTCATTTGGAGGCTTCCTAGAGAATTTATCATTAGGCTGATTGGATGGAATGGGGGAAAAGACGAATTTTAGCCGGGACAGATACTTTGATATTTTTTCTTCAGACTCGTATGTCGATAGTGGCACGGACGAAAATCTACCAGCGATACCCAGGTCCAGCCCCAAACCCTCCTCTTCAAGGCAGGAGGCAATTTGACAATGCCTTCAGCCTAATTTTGGTCTTTGCCTTTTTGCTTTCTTTTCTCTTCCATGGCCCTCTTCATGATAGCTTAACTTCTTATTTCTTGGCCGTGTCGATTAATTCACAGATTACGAACTCTTGATAGTGTCTCTTTTGGGTTATGCGATTTTCCTTCTTGCAAGCGTCACTTGTGGCGTGCTCTAGTCGGGTTTTGGTTGATTCTCCGGCAGTTACTTCAAAAAACACGTTCTTCCATGTCATGTTGCCGATTGGAGAAGGAAGTTTTTGAATGGAGGATAGGCCAATGATGAGCAAAGAGAAAGCAGACGGAAGAGTAGGAAAACGGGAAAGACAAGCAATGGGCATCTGAGGTGTGCAGTGAGCAAGAAGAGGAGGGAAACGGCACATCGACGAGTGACTGAAAAAGATTCTTAACTGCGTGGATTGTTTACATAACGGCATAGATTACAGACTGTTAGGTCAATCAAGGTCGTTCAGCTTCCGGCTCCTCAACTTGTATACCCGTCCTGCCATGACTGTTTTGATGTTTATATTCGCTCGCGCTACCCTTTGCACACAAACTCAAGATGGCAACCCAGCTTGACCATAGGTCGTTACGGTATATTCATAGGAAATGTTGTGACAATATGTTAGATCCTCTCTGGAGATGCTTTATCGTCTCTACAAACAAAAATCTCATCTTCAGTACTACAATCATTCTCTCGCAAACATGGTATCTCTTGAAAACCCTCTCAAAACAGATATCTAAGTCTAGCCAATCCAACTACGCAAAATCGCTTTTTGGAATCGCTCGCTCATCTCAAGGTCATTACCATCAAACCCAACATAGCCGATGTCGTCGCTACCCAACATGAAATCCAAAACCGTATAACTCGTAACCTCCAAACCCATCCAGCGTCCGCCACAACCCCTCTCACATAACAACGCAGCACTTTTTGAAACAAGCCCCCAACAAATCCGCCCAAATATCGTCCTCCTGCTGGTTCTGCTGCTGTCCTTGCTGGTGATGTTGCTGTCCGTGCTGTTGTTGCTGCTGTCCCGGATACCCTCCCCCACCTCCTCCGTGGTGCTGGTTCGGCCTTCCCTCTGACTGATACCCCCCTCCAGGCTGATACCCTGGTGGCTGCTGCGGCAAGCCCGGCAGACCGTCGACCCTACCGCCCGTCAAATCAACATAGATTCTCCCCTCATTCTCCTCCGCGGCAAAGTTGAGTCCCATCTCCCGACACACCTGCTCCACACGCGGGGCGATTTTGCGAACGCCGCCTGCCGAGTGGTTACCTTTGCCGACGATGACGTGCAGGTGCGTTTGCCCGCGGGCTTGGGCGTCGCGGATGCGTGCCTCCAGAATGTCTTCGGCTTCTTCGACATAGAGACCGTGCAGGTCGATGGTGTCGGCGGCCACGCGCTCCGGGTGGTTGTTCTCCCGGAAGATGAACTCGGCTGCTTGTTTGTTGATTGCGTCTCGCTTCGCTTTGTGCTTCTTGCCGAGGTTGGAGAGGTTTTTGGCTTCGGCGCCGTCGCCGCGTTCGTAGGCTTGGTGGGCCTGGAGGGAGGGGAGGTGTTAGTTACCTACTCTACTGTACAAGTAGGTGGGGGTGAGGTGTGGTTTTGGTAATGTGTGAGATCGGATGAACTAGTAGGTGAGATGGGATGGGATGGGATGAGATGGGATGAGATGGGATGAGATGAGATGTAAGAAAACGGATGAAAGGTTCGACGAAACATACCTCGTCGAAGTACCTCTTCATCTTATCACCCTCCGCCCGGGCCTCAGCGCGCAAACGGTCATATTCACTCTCAATTTCCACACTCGTCCTATGGTTGAAGGCTGTGAAAATCTTGGTGAGCTCATGTTCTTCCCTTCCACTCAATCACAATGAATGTGGCACATACCTCTATCGCCTAACCTTTCCATAGGAATCGCCATCTTGGTTAAGGCCGTCTAGCTCAGAGTCAAATTTGGCTCTGCTTAACTTGACAGATAGATGTAGACCACAAACACCGTCTGGAAGCAATACTCAGACGGTTTCTGTATAACGAACGATCGATTCGTGGTCCCCAAGCGAATACTATGTAGGTAGGCTCCTCACAATGCGCTCGACGGAATGAAAAGGGTATCTCAAGTAACAAAAACAAAGAAAAAAAGAAATCAAACCGGATAAAAAAAAACTACAACATAAAGCAAGAATCACTAGTTCGAAGTGTACAGACTTAGTTGGTAGGGTACAGGGGGCCATCATACCGTGACTGCTTATGCGCGCGGATGTATGTGTTCAGGGGGTTGGGGGACCATGCTCCCGGACCAGCTGAAGGGTCGCCGTTGGTGGTGGCTGGGGAGGTACCGACGTACCGTTCTAGGCACGAACACAATTGACCAATCAGGAGTCGTTAACAAAGTGACCGCGGCAGTGGGAGCTAGGTCCCCTCTTCCTCCCCAAAGCCAAGCTTGGAGACCTTCAACAAAACACACATGTTTTCGGCAAGCAAATGCTATTCTGTGACAGCCCGAGCTATAAGATCACGTTTTCTCCTGGCGACATCAATTTTCCTTTCTGATTGATTATCACGGCCCCTCTCGCTATCCCTTCCCACGCGGGGCTTTTCATCGTCTTCGTCTTTGCTCAAAGTCGTTCATTGCAAGTCGACATGAACACGATCTTCATCCCAAAGTATGCACAACTGCCAACCCCCGTATACTCGGCTCCCATGACACTCCTGGGTCGACCACCTGAAATTACTGAGCGTCCTCTGGTTTCTGCGCCCATACATACTTCCAATGGTAGTATCCATGGATGTTCTTGTCCTTCAGCTCGCGGCACATATGAGCAGCAAACACGCTGATCTCCTCCGGCGTCCAGCCCATGACGTTACCGAACAGGTACTGGACGACGCCTTCGACATCTGCCGAGAGTGTAGAATAAGCACACAGCCCGACCTCCTTTAACTTCTTGTCATCCGACCAGGGAGATAACGGCATCTGTGTCCACAGGTCAGCTGAATCCCGACTGCTTAAACAGATATTGTGATTGACAAGAAAGATCCAGCATAATTGCTGCCAATGCGCGAAAGAAGAGTGTTTGGTGCTGTCTGCCAATCACTTAGTGGATAGGATGTTAAACTCACTTTCATCCTCTTCGTCTGGATGTTAACAAACCCAGCCGCCTTCAATCCTTCCTCCATGGTATCGTCGTCGGCAAGGGTAGCTGATCTTCCAATTCTCCGAGCAGCCTCCGCGAGCACCTTGCCATACGTATCCATAGCAGACCCCGGGACCACGCTTCCGTCGTCAGAAGTTACAACGGGCGAATGGTCGTAATGTTCAATCCAGCCACCCGGCTTGCAGACTTTGAATGCCTCTCTATAGAACGCGTTCCAATCCTCGATTGCGCCCACAAAAAATCGAACATGAACAAGATCGAAATAGTTCGGCTTGTAAGTCCACTCTTTCGAGGCATCACTAATCTCGAAGTTTAGATTGGGCGGCACCCAGCTGGGTTGCACAGGCGAGATATCGGTGCCAATCACCTCACAGTTGGGATACTTGTCAGCGAAATCAATCGCCCAGAAGCCCGCGCCTGTACCGATGTCAATAACACGTTCGATATTATCTTTGAGCGGCGACATGTACAGCTAATGGTCGTTGAGCAACTCGACACCATGATAGTAAATCTCCAAGCTGTCGAGATGCTTCTCGTCGTTGGGCGCCCAATATTCTATGTCCGTTACGGCGTCACTGTGATAGGTACGACCATTGATCATACGGTAGTTGAAAATGGTCGAGGAGATAGAAGCAGTTGAGCTTTCGACATCGCTATCCAGGCTGGAGTCCGCGTCTTGGGCATCCTCTTCTGGCATTCCCTGTTGAAGCCAATGCGCACCAGTGAGTGCATCGTCTGTGTTGGCTGGTGCGGCCGACGATGATACGCCAGCAGCCTCCGGCGATCCGGCGGCGGGAGATGTCGGGCCAGCAGGCGCCGGCCTCGCCGGAGGTGAAGATCCAGGAGTTGGCGACACTGCCTTTCTTATTGCCGGGGTACTCATGGTTGGAAATTGGCTCGCAGGCAAGACAGAGAGAAACGTTAAGAAGTCAGAAGGAAAAAGAGTTGATTCATCTTGTGGAATACGGAAGGTACCGAGTCGCCGGCGCCCACGCTCATTTTGAACCCAGAGAATCCCATCCTTCAGCAGCAGGGGCACGAGAGGGGTTTTGAGGAATCAAACTCAAGCAGGAAGTTAGGCCGTTCGAAAACTTTGCAAAGGTTACTCAGTCCACCGAAATAGTTGTCGCAGGTGGTAGTATCCTACGGCATCCAAAACCATTGCGACTTTGGCCTGCAGCATTCACAGTGTGTGTGATATTAACCTCCAGCTATATCCAGACAGATGGATGCACGGTGTGTAGCGAACGAAACCCCCAAGTACACTAAACCAGCAAAGCAGTCGTACGACTTTTCCCCTTTGTCTTGTCAGAAATGCTCCTCAACCTTTTTATATCATCGATGAATATGAACTGCTTTTTGGCTATAAGCATCATCATATCTTGCCAGTCACTGTCGGTCTCAGTTTCCCGCGTCCAGCGTTGGGGCTAATCATGCCGTCTCCGGCCGAAAGGAAATCCAATGGGGAGAGAACTCGAGACATGTTTTGATGCAGAATAATTGTTGAAGAAGACCGATAACGACATTGAAATAGAAACTTATGGTCCCCGCTCCGCGGCCCGTTAATCCCCGGCTACACCAACCGGCTCTATGGCAGCATCGGCTGCGGTTCCATGTTCCGCAGATGTGGGGCCCCCGCACCGGACCGCGGCATTGATCTCCAACTCTGACGTCCCACGCTCCCACACGGCATCTCTAGCTCAACGCTGATCAGTAATCACAACGTCCCGCGGGCGAAATACCGAGAATGACCTCACTGATGCGGACTTTACGAATCTAGTTGGCTTCAGTCAAAACATGAATAATATAATCAATCGAGATCCTTTTCCAAAAAGCAGCCGTCATAGCTTGCGTATCTATCAACTTCCCTCTGCTCATTTTGTCTCCTCTTCGTTACCTCAGCTCATGTATATCGGGAGATTTGCATTCAGTCAAATACCATTGCACGTTCCAACACGATGGCCCCCTCAATAGACAAACCAGTAGCGACCTCCCCCATTGACAAGCCAGTGGCTCTCGTGATCGGTGCTTCTCGCGGAATAGGCCGTCAAATAGCCATTGACCTGGCCAAGAAAGGATACGCGGGTAAGGATTATTCACTCCCTCCCCATTCTCAAATCACACAGCAACACCTCGCTTATATACGTCCCAACCCCCTGGTATACAGTAGTCGTCTCCGCAAAATCCACCACCGATCCCTCCGCCCTCGCGTCCCTCTCCCCTTTCCCGCCGGACCCCAACTCCGCCCTCTCCACCATCACCACCGTCGCCCACGAGATCACCACTCTCCACTCCGGCACCGCCCTCGCCGTCCCCTGCGACACCAGCGACCCCACCGGCTCATCCCTCAAGACCCTCATCGCCTCCACCATCAAAGCCTACGGCCACCTCGACGTCCTCATCTACAACTCGGGCGCAATCTGGTGGTCCTCCGTCTCCTCTACTCCGCTCAAGCGGTACCAGCTCATGCAGCGCGTCAACGCCGACGGGCTCTATGCAGCTATCCAGTTCGCCTTACCGTATCTGCACGAGTCCACTTATGGCGGGCGGATCGTGGTGGTCTGTCCGCCCATTTACTCCCGGTTTTTCCGGGGCAAGACGGCCTACGCCATGGGCAAAGTCGCCATGTCCGTGCTCGTCAAGGGGTTAGCCATGGATTTTGAGCGCGAGAGCGTGGTGTCCCCCAAGACGGCGACGGGGGAAGGGGATGGCGTCGTGACGAGGAAGAAGGGCATGGCGGTGAGTGGGATCTGGCCGGCTGTGGCGATTGAGAGCGCTGCTACGGCCAAACAGGAAGAAAATCACCCAGAGTTGCGGGGGGATTTGAGACATGCGACGATCTTTTCGGATGCGATTTTGGGGGTCTTGGAGAGCCCCGCGGAAAAGGTGAATGGGAAGTTATTGCTGGATGAGGATTTCCTCAGGGAGCAGTGGGGGGTGAAGGATTTTGAAAAGTATAGTGTTGTGAAGGGTAGCAGGCCGAGACGGATCATGCCCAGAGTGTTGCCGGATTTGACGGTGGAGGAACAAGATGATGAGGGGGCTAGGTATGATAGTGCGAAGGAGAGGAAGAAGAAGGGTTCGAAGCTTTAGGTCTGGGGGTTGCTGGATGAGAGCAGCCATGTGATTACCTATGGTTGTTTGAACTTTGTGAATTTGGTGTACTGGTAACGACTTTTTTTTGGGGGGGTACTAATGATATAAAGAAGATTTCATGACGTCGAACCCCATTCTAGCACGAAATATCTATGACCATAGGTAGACACTGGGCAAGAACTCGGCATCCCGTCAGCTCTCCCCGACAAAAGTCAGTGACCCCTAGACCAGTAGTCGGAGCGGTGACGACCGGTAAATAATTAACCTGGTATCGTCTCTCTCTTTTTGTCCGTTTTGATCTTTGTTCCTTCTCTTCGCCGGACCGTTATGGTTCCTTCCGCCTCGTCTTTTGGGATGCTTGGGGAAAATATTTATCGGCAGCACCTTCCCACCTCCGCCTCTCCACGGAACTGAGTAGTCCGGATTCCGGAATGGTCGCCATAAGCGAATGTATGCCATACTTAGTAACGAAAGAAATCAATCCCTTGAATATCTGCAGACGTCGATGATCATTGTCCGAGCGAAGTATCGTAGACTGTGGCAACGGGAGGTAAAGTGGCCCATTCCATGCAGGGCATTGCGAGGCATTGTCAATCAATAGTCAAAGCATGCATGATAGGAGCAGGTACTCTACGTATGCATCTAGAACAGGTGCATACTTGCGCATGTACCTCGCCTCTTACCTTATGCTTCATACTGTATGCCGCTTTGAGCCTCCTTTTGCTGCGCCCTGGAAGGTTCGATGTCGACAGCTGTCTTCAGGGCAGTGCTGACTGCATCCGTGACATGAGCATAAGCACGTACGTAGTGATCAATCCCGTGAGGATGATAGATCGGCGAGAATATTGAATGTGTAAAGTGGGTATATTCACCAGATCTTTATGTCTATCGCCAATTTTGGGCTCTTCAACCAACTTTTCCCATCTATAACCCACTGACCATCTATGTGTTCATGTTCCGCTGGCTGTCTGGCCAGGTTTGGTATCGTATCCAGGCAACAGAACCAGAAAGAAAGTGTTAAAACCCAAGATAAAAAGTGTCATCAAACGTGTTTCGCCATGCATGCAATGAACCATGTCATCCATCCAAGACCCAAATGGTATATCCAAACGCAAACAATATGCGAAAAAGTGAATGTAGGAAGACAAGATGTAAGGACCAGATAACCAAAAAGTCAAACCCCCTTCACTCATACCCTCTTCTAACTTTCTCCTCCTCCAATTCTGTCGTGTTCCCCGACCCGTGCATTGTCCTCTCATCATCGCTCACGGCCGAAACCGTAGGCATGTTGGAATAAGCCTCCTTCGTCTCCAACACCTCCTCGTTCTCCTCCGCCACACCGGCGGGGACAGCAACCTGCGGCTGCTGATGTATGGCAGCTCCGCTCCTGCCCTCCTGCTGCTCCTGTCTCGCCTTGGCAGCTGCCAGCATCTTTGCGAGCGCCTGCGCCGCCTCAGCAGCATACTTGCACTTCATTCTGACCAAGTGGCCGTACTTCCAGAAGAAGAAGGGGAACGGCACGCAAGCGAGCGCGAGGAAGGCAGGGATGGTCGAAGCCCAGTGGATACCAAGGTCGGCATACATGTAGGTGGTGAAGAGGGGGAAAGCGGCGCCGAAAAGTGAACGGAGGACCGAGTTGGCGGCCAGCACGGAGGCGGCAAAGATGGTGTACGAGTCGATCAGGTAGCCCATGAGACTGAGGAAGACCATGACCAGGCCGCCGGCGAAGAAGCCAGACGCGATGATGGGCACGACCCAGTGCACTTCGGGGCCATTGGTCCACGCGAACCAGAAGAGGCCGACGGGAAGGAAGATAGAGCCGACGATGGCGAGGGGCAAGCGGGCTTCGGGGGGCGCCATGCCGCCGTGCTTGTCGGCGACGCGCGAGTAGCGCTTGTTGTCATACATGGAGTAGCCAACTGCGAGCATCATGCCGACGGCGACACCGACGAAGGCAAGGCCGCCGATGCCAGGGCTCCAGCCGCGGATCTGCTGGAAAACGATAGGGAAGGCGGCGAACATGAGGTAGAGGGTGCCATAGACGATGGCCATGTAGAGCGAGGTGAGAAGAACGATGGGCTCGGTAAAGAGCAAGATCCAGGGGCGAAGGAGCGAGATCTTGATCTGTTGTCCAACGGTTTGGTGGCGAGTCTGCAGGTCGAGTCGGGAGACGTAGAGCTTACCGGTTTCCTTGCTAAGGTTCTTCGCACGGCGACGGAGGATAACGGGGGCGTATGTCTCGGGGACAGTGAGGGAGCAGGCGATCCAGAGGACGCCGGTAAAGATGGCCATAACACCTTCGACCCAGCGCCAGCCCTTAGCTTGTCCCAAGAAGCCACCAACGATAGGGCCGATGGAGGGACCCAAGAAGGGAGCCATGGCGAAGACACTAGAGGCAATACCACGCTCTGTAAATAGTTAGTATTAGATGAAAGAAAATGTGAAGCATAGACTGGATGACATACCCTTGGCATTAAACATGTCAGCAATAACACCACCCGAGTTGGTCAAGGGCGAAGCACCAAAGGTACCGCCAAAGAATCGGAGGATGACGAGGGTCTCGATGTTCTGAGCGCCAGCAGCGCCAGCATTGAATGCTGTCAAGGCCATGTAGGTGAGGAAGAAGAGAATCTGGCGACCGTAGAACTCGCTGAGAGGCGCCCATAGTACCGGTCCAACAGCGAAACCAAGGACAAAAAGCGAAACACCCAAGATGGCAATCTCTGTGCTGACCCCGAACCCAATAATAATCTCCTTGATGCCTCCAGAAAAGGCGGTACTGACAAAGGCCACGGCCAAGGTGGCGACGGCCTGTAGGATGGTGATGGTCCACTTCTTCCATTTGGGATATTGCATGGCGTTGTGTCCGTCGACGGGGAGGAAGTCGACGATATACGGCTTTTCGTGTGTGCCCTCGCCCTCATAGTGGTGGTTGCGGACGGCATCTGTAATTCCACCGGGGTTGAGTAGGAGGTACCAATGCGAGACTCTGCTGACTTGGGTGTTTTGACATTCGATGTCCATGGCTGTCGCCGTCGACGACCCGGACGACTTTGGTGTGCCGGCAGCCATGATGACTGATGATTCGGCCGGTTAATATTAGGGTGTATGTTCAAACGGGTAGACGTAGATGCTAATGCAACAACGAC